CCCCCCGCTCTTACCCGCTAGGAGGCATTTCTTCTGCCTCCTATCCGCGCGCCCGCACCAAAACCTCCACCCGGGGCGGCCCTTTGCAGTGCTACCTGCGGTGCCTATACCCCCGCCCGGGCCGTTTGCAGAGCTTTCAGGCTATCTGCCGCCTGGGTTCGGGGCTTTGCTGTCTCCCCCCTCCCCCCTCCCAATTATTATTTATTTTTGGGATCACCAGATGACACACGCATTTCTTGGAAGAAAACCATAATTACTCCCCCGTGGGTAATACAGCGAAATGGGAAATGTATGGCGCGGTACAGCTGGTATAATGAAAACAATGATCTAAGGCACACGACCTTTACTGTAATTTTTAACAAGAAACTGCTGTACTAGCCCATCTTTTTAAACATCCAGCTGATCTTAATCAGACATCCCTGTGAGATGTGAGGAGAGTCAAAAACACTCCCTGCAATCAGATCCAGTTAGGACGGTTATTTCTGCTTTCAACGAGAGCTGAGTTAAGCGTTGCAGTTGGGGTCTCCCCCAACCAGGGACCCGCCGTCCTGCCTCCCCGAACGCCCTGCACATCCTGCGGCCAGCAACCAGCGTGGGAGGCAACGGCAGGAGCTGGTCCCAGCTCTATCTGATGTTGAAAATCAGAGTTTAAAAATGTTTCTTTTCAAAAAGATGTGATATGTTTGGGATATTTTAAAGGGGTTTCCTATAACGAAGCCTGTCGATCCCTTTGTCCCATCTGGAGACCAAGGAGATGGAGGCAGAGAAGTAGGACTAAATGCAATCCTGCAGCCAACAGGGTTGGTCCCACCACCTCTGGCTTCATTTTGGTTGCACGACTTTGTAGATAGCCTGGAAGTAATTGCAAAGAAATTCAGAGAACCACACAAATAACAAGCACAGGGAAAATCAGAGCCAAAGCTGAAGTGGCTGCGCTGCTTCATACCACGACCAAATTATTATGCCAAAAGGACTGGACTCCCTCATCACGTCGGCGTGGTTTAATAAAGCCCTGTATGCCAAGGGCTGCGGTTCACGTTCCTCGCTCAGCTCAGCCCTCTCCAGCTGCGGCGCAGTGCGCAGGGGCCTTAGGGGCTGCCGCGCTCCTGGATCGCTTTCCCTAGATGTGCAGCCCACTCCCCCGGTGACGCGGCAGCCGACACGATGAGGAACCCCGGGCAAGGTGGATCCCGGCGGCAGGAGGGCGATCACTGAGAGGCAGGAATAACAGCCTCCCCAAAACCCAATTGCAGCTTTTTCAGATGCTTGGGCAGTCCGCCTCTGCGCAATAGCGCAGGTCCCGCTCCCACAGCGTGGGAACCGCGGCGCTGGAAGGGGTGGGA